GACGGCAAAGCGATGATTTATACCCCTCGAACCCTAGGTTAAAAATACGATCCCACATGATTCCTGCGGCCAATCGAAAAAAAAATACGGTGGAATTTGGCTAGGAGGATGGCAAAGACTACATCGGCGACGGTGGTCGTGGTCGAAAAGAACGACGAATTAAGGTTAGGATTTAGAGATTTTGGGGATTTAGAGGCTATTTTATAATTTAAGATAAATGAATTTTTTTATAAAAATAATAATATTTTTAATATTAAAAAAATAATTTCAAAATCACTAGATTGTGACATATGTCACTTAACGGAAGAAATTAACGTTAGTAACGTTATGCACTTAGATGGATCGAAAAATACTTTAGACAACTATTCGTGAAAATAGTTGTAGTTTGGGCATTTATTTTATACTTAAGCCTTTTATAAATTAAAATTATGATAGGGTAAAGTACATTACAGTCCATTGAACTATGTTTAAATAATTGTTTTGATTAATAAATATTTAAAAGTTATAAAATAATTGTTAAATTTATCAAAATGATATCAAATAATCACTGTAACTTTATTATAAAAATGCAAATTTAAAAAATATAATGGCTATTCTACAATATTTTGACAAATTTAATGAATACTTTGTAAGTTTCAAAAAATCAATTACCAAACTATTATTATATAATAGCTTAGTGACCTCTAATGTATTTTACCCATTATAATATTGCAAGTGTTCTGCCTGCTCTGACACTTTCTTCCCTTCTCACTTTTCGACTTTCGATTTTCTTTTAACTTTTATTATTAGGGTAAATTCCAAATCCCATCACTAATCTTTACACTCTCTTATTTTGATTACTTAACTTTAAAACTTTTTAATTTTCTCACTAAACTTAATACATTGGGGTTTTTTGTTCACTTTACCATTAAATAGTTAACACCATAAAAATGACATCACTTTAAAAAAATAAAACTTTCACCAAAACGACGTCGTTTTGCATCTATATTAAAGCCCATTTATAACGTCGTTAGTGAGAAAATGATTGAGTGACAAAAAAAACTCAATATATTAAGTTTAATGGAGAAATTGAAAAGATTTAAAGTATAGTGAGTGGAATAGAAAAGAGAAAGTTTCAGTTGTCAAATTTGTAATTTACCCTTATTATTAACCACCACAATTTATGTATTTAAAATTATATTATTATTGTTTTAGTCTGTAAGGCTTAAAATATACATACAATCAATTTTAAATGAGAAATTATTTAAATGTACAAGTTTAATTAGTAAAAATAAATAAAATATTGGCCCAAAAGTTTAAATTTTACTTTAAATTTTGATTAGTAAAATTTAAATTTAAAATTTTAAGATTGTATAAATTTAATTAAAATTTATTTTTAAGTATAGTTTGGCCCAAAATATTGAAACATTTCCATGTGAATACATTATTGTGACAAAGCAGTTTGGCGGGGTAAACAATCATCAATATTTAAAGAGGGGTGTTTGGTTCAAGGATTGTGGGATTCTCATGGGATGGGAATCCCACATTCCCACATTTCCGGTAATGTTTTATTACCAATAGTAGATTTTTTTGGGAATATTACCGGAAATGTCATTACCTCCATTCCCTTAGGTATTGTAACATTACCGGCGTTTTGGACTAAAATGCCTTTAAATTTTTATTTTTTTTCAAAAATATCATTCTTCTGTCATTGAATAATAAAAATTCAACGAATGTTAAATTACAAATTTATCCTTAAATTATTTTAGATTTACAAAAAAAATCTATAATTAAAATTTTATATAAAGTTCAGGGATTAAATTTTTTTTACCCTTTCATTAAACCTTTTTTATATTTTTAATTTAGTAAAAAAATTATATAAATATTATGAATTTAATTTTTTAAAGAAAATATATAAATATTTTACAATTTGTAATATTATACAAATATATAATAACGACAATTTGGTTAAATATACATTCTAATAATATTTTATTCCTTTAACCAAACACGTCAATCTTACATTCATGCTAAACCAACCAAACACAAAATACAACATTCTCAGTAATCATATTCCTTGGTAATCTTTTATTCCCACTAGTAATCTTATATTCCGTAAACCAAACGCACCCTAAGTAAACATAGATTCCCAATTTGTCTAAAGCCAAAGTCCTATAATATATTGCATTTACCTTAAGTTCTTAATTCCTCACATTTCACTGTCACGTCCCCTTAACTTACTATATCCACTGGACCGACTGCAAGAGAATCCGAAGCTGAAAAGAGAAAGCCACAATATCGGTGTTCTCATAAACCATATAGTATATTTTATTGATGGAAACAAATAATTTTATCTATTTCTTTCAATTTTAAGATCTGTGAAAGAATATTCGTTAATTAAAGTTTTTGTATTGAAGAAGGAGAAGGAGAATTTTACAAACAGATCTAGAGACAAGAAAAACACCAAAAGAATCCCAACAGGTTTACAAAGCTATGGAGAGGAATGGGATGTCCAAGCCGAAGCAGTGAACAAGCTAGTATCTTTCCAGCCCAGCCTAAGTGTGCCATCTCCGAGTACGAGCCTATAGCCGTGAGCCGGAGGGGTACATGTTCAATATCAGCTGTGCCTGCGCCATCGAGTTGCTGCTCATCGGCACCTGCACGAAGCGATTACTCGCTGCGAGCTCGCTTCTCCATTGCTTGAACTTGTCTTCCCCACTTCTCGCTGGGCCTCCTATTGCCAGTATGTTGTTGATTTCCCTATACAATAGGCAATGCTCGATGCGATGCCAGTTGGGGTCGTCGGCCGGTAGGTACGCCCCGAGGGATTCAAACATAGTGGAATAATAATGGAGAGACCCGACGAATCGGTCTAAGAATAATCCACCGTGGGACAGGTCTTGCTCCACCAATGTCATAATTTTCGGAGCCAATTGCTCTATTAGTGTCATCGTCTTCCAATCCGGTCCCGTGGCATCGTATAGTGAATGTTGTAGCCAGTGAACAGCTAGTGTCTCCCCTCTTCGGTGTTGTACCGTCGTAACATCGATCTCTCCAAACTTCTTCGCGACCGGGTGGAATTCGAACGACATCCCGAGGCGTCTAGCGAAATTCGATAGTTGTTTTCCCGTCTCCACGAGAAGCTCAATCGAACTGCCGAAGCCGGTCATCGTTACATGCGGAGGTCCTTCCATACGAGTCGCGAGGATATGAAACAAGGCCGGCCATTGCAAACCCTGCATGATATCAAGGTCTATTATATGAACTCGATCGCGTCGATGAAACGCTTCGAGGATGACTTGGTTGGAGGTGAAATGAGCGAACTTGATAAACGGAGAGACATTGTTGTAAACTTGGAGAGCACAGAGAACGCTTTCGAAGTTTATCAACGGAAAGTAAAGCCCTAACCACGAATTAATAACCCTACTAGACATGGCCTTGGAGAAATACGCGACAACCCTTTCGCCACAAGAAAGAGTGTAAGGAGAAGCCATTTGAGTCAATTCAAGCAACATTCTATGAGCTTCCCCAAGGTTGTCGGTGGAGATAGCAGCAGCACACTCTAACAGAAGCGTTATCAAGCTTAAACCTTGCTCGTCTAACCTATTATTCCACTGAAGCCCTTCACTGTTAACAGTTTCCCTCGGCCAGAAATCATTGATGTTATCATCGCATGCCATTGATGTATCAGCTGCCTGCAGGCTGCTACGGTGATTGGTTTCCGTGTTGGCAGCCGGAAAGTCATCGATGAGTTGCCTGGACTCGGAGAGTTCGTTTCTCTCCGAGTTTACGCACTGAGTTTCGAGAGTGAGTTTGTTGTCTCGGAATGGAGCTTGTGAAATCCCATATGGGTTCCAAATGGGGCTGATTCTCCCAATGAACCACTTCGAATCCTCCTTTCATCATTGGAAGACGAAGCAAAAAAAGGGGTGGAAATTAAGAGAAAAATGGTGGAGGGTGTTAAGGAAAGGTGGGGAGCATTTTTTAAAGGGAAATTTTGGGGCAATGATGACCGAAGAAATGAGCCAAGACTTGAAAGTTTTGGGAATTTGTTTAATGAAACAGCGCGGCCGCCGGCCGGCGTAGCCAGGACACAGAGATGAATCTAAGAAGCTAAAAGACATGCAGACGTCATTTTGGTAGTGATTTTCACCATTATTAACCTCCTTTAGATCTTCAATAAAGTACTTATCTTTACAAATATCATAGTTTCGTTTTTACAAGTGATTGAAATGACGCAATTAATTGATTATCCATTAATTCAATAATATTATTTGATAAATAATTTATAAATTCTAATATCAATAACATGCATTAATTAATAAAAATATCAGAAGGAAATTACTTTAAGCAAAAGCTTAACTCGTAGTGTTCTTGGTCAAATGCTGATTTAGTAAGCCGGTATATAATAATAATATGACGGTTCATAATATAAAAGTATATTTAAGGTATTAACCATTAACTAATTTAGAAAGGGTAATAATAATGCCTGGTTTGGTTAATGATGATGACACACGTTAAGACCACACACCAACACTCGAGTAATAGAATAATTATAAATCAACTTAACATATATAATTATGTTTAATACTAATATTTTATTTTATTTCTCTAATTTTAATACATTTATGAGTAAAAATGTCTATTGCAAGTGGATTAATTGTATTTAATATTTAGAATTATAATTCGTATTTTAAATTCATCCAAAACTTTAAGATATTTTAAGGTAAATATTTATTTAATCACTCTTCTATAATAGCGTTTCTTCAAAAGAAAAACATAGAAGATAAATATAAAATGAACTCGAAGCATTTCCACTAATCAAATGAGAGAAAGACATTATTGACCGAAAGGAAATTTTGTTGGATCAGGGCTTCACTTGTGTGGCCAACAAGATCAGGAAGCACCTATTCGGCATCGGCTTCTTTCAACAAACACCAAAGGTATTTCACTACCAAAGTAGATTACAAATTACGAAACTATTTGCCAAAGAAAGTCCATCGGTGTCACCATTTTCACTTCTAAATGAAGCAGCCAAAAGGAGAAATATGTAGCTATACCCATTAGGCAACCATGAGCTAAACAAGCATATCGATCGATTGTGGCCAACTATACGTCAGTAGAAGATGACTACAAAAGAACTTTGCTAATTCTATACCTGGCTGTGGTCTTTAAAGGTTATAGAAGAACAACTGGATTCAGAGAGATCAACGGTAGTATGCCATGTGCCTCGATGACATGAAAGGAGAAGTAGCATGAGGCGAGGCCTTCTGGACTTGGGCAGGGGTGTCTGACAGTTTCTTCTTCTCACACTTGGTTTCAGAGCGAAGCCAGGCTTCAACAACAGAGAGTAAGTTTTCTGAACTTTTCAACTCCTTGGTCTCGGTTAACTTCTCAGATCTCTTCAATTGACCATCTTGGATGTAAGCCAGATGCGTTGCCCATGTCTCTAGCCCATCAAAAATGTGGGTAGCATATACGATAGTGGCTCCTCTCTAAAATACAATAGTAAATGCTAGTTAGACAATGAACATGACATACTGGTCACAGAATAAAGAAGCAATCATAAATTAGAGTGCTTGAACAATAACACCAACATCTATGCTCTAGATATGTTTGGCAATTGAATAAGTGAGCCTGTGTAAAAATTAATAGACAAAGTCAATCAAAATGAAACTCTTATTTTAGCTGATTGTTGCAGAAAGAATATATGCGATGATGAAAAGCTACAACAGTTTCAACATAGTGAAATTCCAGCACCCTATTCATACGTAATCTCTCATTTTCTAGCTCTTCAACATCAGTCCACAGCATGTAAATGTAAGAACAGAAAACTGAAGTCAGTACCTGTTCACATTCTTCCTTAAAGTAGTCAAGTAAATCCATCCTTGCAACAACGTCCAGGTCGACAGTAACCTCATCTAGCAGAAGAACCTTGGAAAAAATGGAGTTTGCACAGCAAACAAATTAAAAAAACGAGTAATCATGCAGGATAGTAAAGACAAAATTACCCAAAACATGTATTTTTAATTATAGTGGAAGGTGGCAGTTGTACTTTTGTTTGTCACAAGATAATAAAAGGTATCATTACACTCATCAGTACATAGATAATAGCAATAGGAGATTGGTAAAGGTTTAAGTGATGATATCGATCACACAAAAGTGACACTCAAAACTTCAGATATACCTGAAAAGGATGAAGTAGACCCATACAAATTTGGACTCGACGCCGTTGCCCATCAGATACCTTATGCATTCGCCATTGCAAATCAATATCAAGCAACTCAATCAATTTATCTCTCCTCACAGGATCAATCGCTTCAACTGCCAACAATGAAATTATACCCCGAAAGGTAGCTGTTTAATTTCAAAAGGGAACTAAAGAGCAAGCAAGGAAAGAAACAATCAAACAAGAGGCTAATTTGCACTCACCTCCAAATATCATGTGTTCCGCGGAGAAGTCTCCCTGCAATGGAACCTCCCCCTGCATATGTTTGGCCCAGCAAAATTACAGTTAAAAAATTATGGACAATTGATATTTAGGTCTAATTTCAAATTTCTTTCTCTCTACTTTAAGAAAACTAAAAATTTAAACCTTAATTTGTCAAAATTTATCCTCATCCTTTACGGAACCCAGAAGTTAGTCTAGTTATCGACAAAAATATAAACTTGAACTACTGCTTTTTGCTAAGTACCAGGATCAAATGCCTTCTAGAAAGATTAATTTCTCAAATTGTGTAAATGAAATTCATAACTAAACCTAATCTTGAAAAAATAAGTTGGGAAAAATTACTGACAGCGGAGCCAACAGTTTTACTCCAAGATCCTCCCAAATAAGCTAAATCACCACTACAAACAAGTTGAGTGTCGTGAAAAGCCGAACGGTTAAGTACTCTCACAACATCTCTTCCACCAACCATATGCTTTCCTGCTAAAATTTTCAGCAATGTCGTCTTCCCTGCTCACAATGAAAAAACTACAGTTTATTTATTATTATTATTTTCTTTTTGCAAAATCATCTCTGTTTGAAGGCAAACTGAGAGGGGAAATGAAATCGGAAGTGATTGAAATTACCAGATCCGTTGGCACCGACGAGAAGGCAACGAGATCCGCGAGCGATATCGATATTGAAATCGAAAAAGAGTGGATGCTGCAATTGGTATGCAAATTGCATACCACATACGGCGATGGTTTTCGATTCTCCATTCTCTTTTTCTTCTACTGAACTGTAACAATCTTGCTCCGCCATTTTAGTAGATGTCCGAAGTCCCTTACATCTTTTCGCGGCAGCTTTAATACCGGGTAAACTATACAATTAGCACTTAAACTTTCAGTTTTGGTCTAATTTAATACTTAAACTATCAGTTTTAATCTGTTTTAATAGTTAAGTTTTTAATTTTTTCAAAATTATATCTAATGTTTAATTTTTATTTTAGTATATTATCGTTAAAAACTTAACAGATTTAATATCTAAACTATTAATTTTGATTTATTTTAGTACCTAAATTTTTAATTTTTCAAAATTTAACATTAAATATTGAACGAAATACTAAAATGAAATAAAAACTTAAATCTTTAACGAAAATTTATTAACATGATAAAAAAAATTAAAATTTATATATGATTTAAAAAATAAAAAATAAAAATATTAAAATAAATCAAAATTAATAATACTATTTATCCTTAATACCCTTATTGTTGTTCAAATTCACCATAGAAACTTATGATGGAAACCAAATTTCCAATCATAAATTATTTACTGTAACATATCATTAAAATGATATACTAAAATATATCATAAGTAAATTTATTTTTATTGTGTAAATATTAAAAATTATAATGATTTATTTAAAATTAATCAGTAATTAAAATTTAATTCTTTTTTTTATAAAATTATAATTTTTTTAAAAAATAATAATTAATTTAAGTAATTTAATTTATTTAGAATTAAGATTTGTAAATTATTTAAGTTAGAAATGATTATGATATTGTCTTATACTTATCTTAAATTAATTGTTGTTATTGATTGAAAATTCAAGTTCGAACGTCATAAATGTCAGGAGTGTATACGATCATTATCAAAATATTAAAAATTATTTTTAAACAGATATTATCTTATACTTACATTAAATTAATAAAAAAAATGACCATAAATAACAGTCACGTCAAAAAGCTTAACTTACATTGACAATTATATGTTTCAGTTTTAATAGACATGGCTAAACTACATTACCCCATAATTTTGTTATAATTTAAATGGTCAAATTTCAGCAAATCTCCTTACTTTCCCTTATTTAGATTTTAGATTTTTAGGTTTTAAATCTTCTATAATATTAATTTTGTTTTAGTTTAAATGGTCAAATTTTATTTTTGATAATTAATTTCAAATCTATTATTTAATTTTATTTAACAATAATATTAATATTTTAATTTATTCATTAATTTTTAACTTGATGCTAATAAAGTTGGATCTTAAAACTTTTCTAATAGTTTGTTTTAATAAATGACCATTGATTATTATAAAAACATAATTGATTTTTAATAATATTAATTTAAATGTTTAATTTTAATCAAATATTAATTGTGATTATATAATATTAATTTTGATGCGTAAGTTTGACTTGCTATTACTGTTGAGCATTCATATTAATTTAATATTAATTTTTTCATCAAACTTAAATTGCAGCATATTAGTGACTATCGATGATGAGGGAAAGATTGAGAACAAGGAAACAATAAATTATATCTAATAAAAAGACTAAATAGATTACCCAAATAGTAAAACTTATACCAAAGAAAACAACTTAAATCTAATGTCGATGATGGTATCTAATTTGTTTGCAATACTATAAACTTATTGGACGTGCCTTATGTACAAGTTCAACTATTTCATACATAAAAATAAAATAAATAATAATTGTAAAATAACATTTATACAAAATATAGAGATCCATAAAAATTTCATTAAATTAACAACATAAACATTACATAAAGTACAAAAAAAACTTGTTATAATTAATAAATAAAAATTAAATTTTCTTTCATGACAATATATTTAACATTTTAACCACTACACTAAACATACAAAACTCTTTCAATTAATCACAATGAATATACCCTAATATTGATATTTTATGAATTCATATCGAGATGTCGCTTACATTCCATTTTTGCTTGTTTTGAAAGAGTCAAATTAAGATCCATTAAATAGTTCAAATAGTTATAAAATCTGATATCAAACTTACGTGTCAAAATTAATATTAAATCAAATGCAATAATAAAAATGAATAACAAGTTAAAATTAAACATCAAAATTAATGAAATGATAAGAAAGAATAAAATGATATTAATATTATTTTTAATTAAAATTAAATAATAAATTTGAAATTAATTATCAAACTAAAAATAAAATAAAAATTATAGAAGATTTAAAAACCTAGAAGTCTAAAATCTAAATAGGGGAAAGTGAGGGGGTTGTATGAAATTCGACCATTTAAATTAAAACAAAAGTATGAGATTAGTGTAATTTAGCCATGTCTATTAAAATAATCATATTAACCTTGTGGTCGTGGGATCGAGTCTCACGGTGGGCAATTCATAATTGCTGGAAGTCTTCCACGGAAGTTACTCTCAACCTAGCATTGGGGGCAGCCTACTTCCCTACCTCCCCCTTACCCTATTACATATGGGAATATGGTCGGATAATTTTTTTATTAAAAGAATCATATAACAGTCTAAAATCTAAATTGGAGAAATTATGGGGGGTTTCATTAATTTAAACATTTGAAAATAACACAAATAAGGTAGGGGTTGGAATGTAATTTTACTATTCAATAATTAGAATTCACCTCTCACCTTCGTGCAATTCAATGGAAACATAGAGGGGGGCGTCGCCTACTTTTCTGCAGAGCTTCTGGGCGACTGTTGAATGGTTTTTCGGTGATTGTTGGGCGACGGTGAACCGGACGTTGTCAAACAGCAACGTTGGATTTATAATATAATATTTTTCGATGAGTTTTTTGACGAAATTTTTGGCAAATTAAGGTCACCGACAATGACTACTACTTATTACCATTTAACTTAAATAATTTACAATTTCTGAAGGGTGTGACACCCCGGCTAGAGGAGCTCGAGTAGGTTGGAGTCAGATCTGCTCCTTGAAGTCTGAGGGTGGGTTGGGACTCAGGGATCTTGCTCTATGGAGCAAATCGTGTTGCCTGATGCTAATTAGGAATATCCTAGCTAATGTTGGTTCATTGTGGATAGTTTGGATAAAGGCTTACTGCTTTAAATCAGATAGTTACTGGCAAGTTCCCTGCAAGCCTCATTATAGTTGGATTTTAAGTAAACTACTGAGGCTTCGAGACGATGCGAGGAGATTATTTACTCCTGGTACTGATTTAAGCCAGATCAATGGTAAATGGATTTGGGATGGTGTTCGAATAAGTAGAGAGAAGGTGAGTTGGCACAAGATTATCTGGTTCCCTTTTCATATTCCAAAATTTTCCCTTATTGCGTGGATGGTTACCCTCGATAGGCTGCCAACTAAGGACAAGCTTGTTCGTTTTTGCTTGGATATTGATGATGTGTGTATGGTTTGCGGTTCTGGTAGGGAATCACGTGATCATCTATTTGCAGATTGTCCTTATGCTAAGGATGTATGGAGTAATGTTCTACGACTGTGTGAGATTCGTTATGTGGATTTCAGCTGGGATCAGCGTCTTTATTGGTTGATCGAGAATTTGAAGGGCAAATCCCTTCGCAGTCGGATCCTTAAGCTTGCTTGGACCGGGGTTTCTTTATCATATTTGGGAAGAACGCAGCCACAGGCAGTTCCGTGGTCTTTCAAGCACTAGCGAGGTAATTGTAAATAGAATTAAAGTAGCGGTGAAAACAAAAATGTATAGCCTTAGTATACACAGAGTTGATGAGGGTAATAGATACTTGTACACAAATTGGAGCCTGATCTAGGCTGAGGCAGGTTTGTTTGTAACAACTATGCTGTTTCTTTTGGATGAAATATAATTTACTTATCCAAAAAAAATTACAAATTCTAATTATAAATAAATTAAATCGCTTAAATTAATTATTATTTTTAATAAAAACATAATTTAATTATAATTATATTAAAAAATAAAATTTTAATTAATAAATAATTTTAGATAAATCCTTATACTTTTTAATATTTACATTATAAAGACAAATTTATTTGTGGTACATTTTAATACGTCGCTTTAATGGTACGTTGCATAATGTGATGTATGTTGTAGAATCTTTTAAAAGTATTTTATGTGCGAAATATCAATTTCAAATACTTTGTAAGTAATTAATTATCCTTTTATGTAGTTTGATCTTTTCAAGGTTCTTTCTTTTTTTTCTCCGGTTCTAAGGTTTTGTCCTAAATAATTTAAATCGACACGGATCGCACACCTAATTTCGGTGGGTGAATCTTCCAGCGCAGATTTTCTACAGACCGAAATAATCAAATTTTGTTCGGTAAATTCAGTTAACCGACCAAAATAATCAAATTTTGTTCGGTAAATTCGGTTAACCGACCGAAATAATCAAATTTTGTTCGGTTCGATTAATATTTTCAAAAAAAAATTGATTCGATTAACGGTTAAAAAATATTCAATTAATTCGATTAACGAAAATTTAGTTTAATCGATGACTAAATTAACCGTTTGAACACTCGTATTGATCAGCCTAATAATGAGATTGGGATTAATCCCTTGAGCAGAAGAAGTCGAGCTTGATTGAATATGACGATGAAGCTATCTGCCAAAAACAAAACATTAATGATGAATAAGAAAGTAAGAAATGGGCAAGTTTTGGGTAATAATTAGGGTTATGGTTTAGATTAATGGATCCTAGAGTTAAATCCAAAGGGCAATCAAAGAGCTGCAGATGTTGTCAAGCTATACAGCTATGGCCCCTCCAGTTTCACAGATGCTTCTTTTTACATAGAATGTCTTAAGATTGATTGACATAATTGTTTTGCTTGTGATAAAGAACATCGTTACTGTTTGTCAGTGTTTATCGACAACCAAGCATTACAAGGACACGCGTCTTCCTTTGTCTTTCAACTACAAAATTACAGTCGATGAGAATTATAATTAAATTTCATTTTTAAAAAGGAAAAAGAAAAAACAGGTTGAGCTGACAGAAGAAGATCGAAGACTAATGATCTTTCTTAGCTTAAACTTCACGGGTACATATAATTGGATCAATTATCCATAACATCCTTAAATTATGGA